GGAGGAGGAGGAGGAGAGGAGGAGGAGGAGGAGAGCAGGAGGAGGAGAGGAAGAGGAGGAGGAGGAGAGGAGGAGGAGGAGGAGGGGAGGAAAAGAAAGCAAGTTCCCTAGTGGCAATCCCAGCACTCAGGCAAGGACTGCTGAAGGCCAGATGAGGCTATGATAGCGAGATCTAGTGGACAGATGTGGCCTGTTTAAAAGACAATTCGGAGCCTGAGACTTTAATCCGAGCACTCGGATGGTGTGAGATGCTGGCTAACTAAGTCACAGAGGAAAGGCTACTCTGACGGTTGGATGGGTGGCTCAGCTTCATCTGTAAATGTAAATTAGGCTTACGGAGGGCTAGGTACAAGCTAGCCCTCCAAATACACGCTAAGCGAAAGCGTTTCTTTGGGCTGTAACGTGGAATGGAAGTCTGATGTTTTTGGTTTGTTTTGTTAACTTTTTAAAGACCTTTCTCTGGCTGTGGCCTGCTGCTATGTAGATCAGGCTGGTCTGAAACTCAGAGATCTGCCGGGCCCTGGCCCTGAGCACAGGATTAAAGGGACAGCACCACCCCTGACAAGAGCGGAGCCTCTCAGTGAGGTCTGTGAAGTCAGGCGGCCCTCAGGAAGCAGGTGTGTGGTCACAGAGCAGGACCAAGGCAGGGACCCTGAGTCACAACATTTCTCTGCCTTCCAGGTAAAACCCAGGGCCGCCCCCAGCCACCTCCACGAACTGATGTTGGCTGGAGACATCAGGGGTGTCTGAGCAGGGGTGCCTCCTGGAGTCTGACATCGGCCTCGCACCCCTGGGCGGCAGCTGTGCCACCCTGCACATAGAGAACAGCAGGCGGACCCCTCCACGCCCAGGGCTGGCTCCCCAGCCTCTCCCCATGCCCCAGTGCAGCCCTAAGACATTTCAGCACTTTCTGTCAGGTCCCCCACCGGTGTGACAGAGAGGCCTGCCCTCAGCCGTCAGTCTCCCTGCTGTCAGGGGCTCTCCTGGAACACACACACACACACACACACACACACGCTGCTCCTCGCCCAGTCTTCCTGACCCTTAAGGACTCATGTTCCTAGAGGTTTGGCACCGCAGAGGACCTTGTCTGCTTCCCTGGTTTAACAGGCAGTTTAACCCACACTTCTTCCTGGGTCAGCACGGTTCAACAAAGCCCACTCCTCGCGTCCAGGCCCTCATTCCCTGCCAGGATGACAGGCATTCCCTCGGCTTCCACTACCTTTCTTCGACTGATAGACGCTCCGTGTGGATTAGACGGAGGCGGTTCTAAGCATGCGGAGCTGAGGTACCCTCTGCTGTGGGCAGGGCTGCCCCATTTAACAGAAAGAGCCAGCGCAGAAGGATGGAAAGCTTGGCCGGAATCTCACAGGCTGTCAGAATTAGCAGTGGTTGCAGAAAGGGCTCTATTTTCTTTTATTTTAGGGCCAGAATCACACTGTGTAGCTCAGGCTAGCCTGGAACTTGTGGTCCTCTTGCTTCTTGCTCTTCTTCCTGAGTGTTGTGATCACAGGAGTGCACCACAAAACCTGGCTAGGAACAGTGTTCTTTTTTTGGCTGGTTTTGGTTTTTGTATTTGGGGGGGGGTTGTTGCTGTTTGTTTTTGTTTTTGAGACAGGGTTTCTCTGTATAGCCTCGGCTGTCCTCTGCCTCCCTGAGTGCTGGGATTGCAGATGTGTGCTCTGCACCCAGCTGGGACAGCACTCTTAACACTCAGTGTCAGACGCTCCCTTCATTGATGACCTTTCCTTCCACAGTTTCCTTCTTCTGCTTGTGGGTGGAGCCAGGCCAGAGGATGCTGGGCAAGCGCTTTGCCACTACAGAGCCTCCCAGTGTTAGGGTTTCAGGTGTGAGCCTTCACCCTGGCTTGTTTACACTTTATCTGATCTCTGGAGACAGTGTCTCTGTAGCCCGAGCTCCCTGGATCTTCTGGAGGAGCAGAAAGCAGCCCTGACCACTGAGCCACCTTCCCCGTGATGCTAGGAGCTGAACTTTGTGCCTGCGTCCCTTGACTACCCTCTTCTACAGTGGAAAACAACCATTCTGTTTCTGCAGCCCAAGCTTCACCGCACTCCACAGCTTTCTCGTCATTGTGTCATGATGCTGTTCCCCCCATTCCTCTCTGAGAGCCCTGACTCAGGACTCCCCTCAACCATCCCCCACGTCACATCCTTGAAACCTTCCATGTACAGCTTCCAAGGGCCATCGCTGAAGGCTCACTGGGCATTCCCAGCCAGTTTTCAGGGGTTTTCTTCTGAGTGGGAGACCTGGGTGGGTACCCCTGCCCGGGCAGCGGTTTTATCGTTGAGGTAAGCGACTGCTCAGGTGGGAACAGTCGTCCAACTGTCCCTACACCGAGCTTCCCCGGTGTCCGGCTTCCGGATACTCTGTCAGTGCTGCTGCCTGGATTTCTGCAACAACCCGAAAAGCAAAGAGGCCACTTCGTACTAGGGCAGCAGGAACCCTTGCCGCCACCTCGTCCAGCCGCTAGGGATGTCCATCTGAGCCTGCCTCTGCCTCCCTGCCTCTCATGCCAGTGACCCCGAGCTGGCCTCTCCCACCTCCACTTTGTCCAGCCCCCTCTCTTGTCCAAAGTCCCCAGGTGTTGCCCCCAAACAGACCAGTATGCAGTGTTCGGATTGTCTCCTCTGATGGAGGTGAAGGTTTGGGGGCTGGGCGAGACTACCCCATGCCAGGTGTCTCTACCGCCCGGGCTTGACAACTCTGACTCAGCTGTAGAAAGCTGAAGAGGGACTGGCTGCTCTTACCTCGGGACTGGCTGTCCTTACCTGGGAGGGCTGGCTTGGCTAGTCGACGCTGTCAGACCAGAGCTGTGTGTGGCCCACAGGCCACACGGGCAGAATATAGGGAGAGCCAGGGAGGAGGGACGGAAGGCCTAGGAAACAAGGGAGCTGGAGCTGAACTTTTCCTACCTTGTGGGTTCTTTCTTCCATTCCCTTTTCTTCCCTTTCAACCTCCTAACACTGGACTAAGAGAGAAAAAGGATGGAGAGGAAAGGAAAGGGATCTCTGAATAAAGCCAGGAGTTTGAAGCCAGTCGTGGCATTGCACGCTTTTAATCCCAGCACGCAGGGAGGCAGAGGCAGGCACATCGCTGTGAGTTCCAAGGCCAGCCTGGTGTACAAAGTGAGTCCAGGACAGAGAAACCCTGTCTCAGGGGCTGGAAAGGGGGTGACGTTATCGTATTGTTAGACTACTTCCTGCTGACTAGGGGTGTCATGAACTTAACAAAGTGCAGCCAACAAAAAACCAACAAGCCCCCCCCCCCACACTGGGGCTCTAGCATTTAAGTACCCTCTGAAAAAAAAGCCCAGAATTCCAAACATCACATCACACAGTCGCAGAAACTATCTGCAGGTGGCAAAATCACAGCTCTGCAATAGCAGGAGGCAAATCGGTCCAGCTGCTGAGGAGCAGACCACATCCCACCCCTGGGATTAAAACAAAATCGTATTCTTATATTTCTGTGTGTGTGTTTAAGAAACCAAAATTCCAGAACCGTCACTCCAGGGAGCCTTGCTCTCTGACTTCCAGGGCTAGTGCCCCTTCCTAGCCCGGCTCCCAGGTTTCGCCACACGCCCCTTCCTTGCTGGCCTCCCTCCTCGGGCTCCCAGCATTAAGACTGTGGCGTGCCCTGCCACGGGCTTCTGTGCACGGCGGCTTGTGCCCAACTCCGCTACTCAGAAGGTGGAGGCCGGAGGACCGTGACGTCGAGGCCAGCACAGACTAGAGTGAGACCAAAGGCCAGACTAAACCCCAAAGCCCGGTGTCCGTTTGTCCCTACCCACACATGCCTGTGTGTGCACCCACCTCAGACTACAGGGCGACTTGCGAGGCGGCGGAGGGAGAGGGAGCACGCCTGTTGCTCCGCAGAGCTCTCGCGCTGGGCTGAGGCCTGAGCCTGCCCGCCTCACCTGAAAGTGCTGGTGACGTCAGAACAGTAGCACAAAGCACCTGGGAGTGCCTGAAATTTTTCAATTTATTATTTGTTCTGAGACAAATTTGCAGCTTTGGCTGTCCTGGAATTACCAGGCTGGCCTCAGACCCACCGACTGCCCACCTCCGCCGGGATTAAAGGTGTGTGCCACCAGGCGGGGCCAAAAGCTTTCAGTCAGTACAGCGTGGGCCGCACGCACCTTAATTCCAGCTCTTGAAAGGTAGAGGCAGGAGGATCAAGAATTCAAGGTCAGCCAGGCACGGTGGCACAAGTCTTTACTCTATCTCAGAGGCAGAGGCAGGGCAGGTGGATCTCTGGGAGTCTGAGGCCAGCCCGGTCTTGAAAAACAAAACAAACGAACAAAGTTCAAGGTCTGCTGAGGACTGAGGCTACTTGAGGATGCTGAAGATTCCACACCTGCAGCCTGGAGCTCGTGCTGCGAGGCGCCCGGACCCTTGAAAGGAACCAGCACAGGTGGTCACAGGCTTGAGTCCCTTTTCACACCATGTGGCTTTAGTGTTCCAGCTTTGAAGGTGACAGCTGCTCCACCCAGCAGTCAGTCAGGTGAAGTGATGAGGTCAGACAGCCGACCAGGATGGTGGGGAGAGATAGGTTGCCATGCTGGGAAATCTGCACAAGAGCCCACCTTTGCCCTTCCTGCTGAAGCCTGGCACTGAGGCTTGGAGGTGGCACATGGCCAGACTGAGGGTACATGATGGCGGGGTACGTGGAAACCATTCTGAGGGTACATGATGACACTGTGGGAACCATTCTCAGGTCAGCCTACTTGGACACCTGCTTAAGGTTCTTGAAGAGGAGGAAGCCAAATCAGCGCCTGGATCCCGGTGCCACACAGAGGAGACCTGAGACCACAGGGACCGGAGGATTGCAGTGTCTGGGGACAGCAGAGCAGGGTGCTAGGCTGCTCAAAGGAAGAGGATCTCGGACAGAGCCTGATCTGGGGAGGGGAACGTGTCAGAGTCTAGCCTGGGAAAGAACCAGAAGTCCCGAACTATTGAGGAACAGGTATATTTGTTGCAGGTGGGCAACGGACAAGCCCAGCTCCAGGGGCGGGTGAGAGGGTCCGGGCCCTCAGAGCCCCCGTGAACACGGAGGGCAGGCAGGGCCAGGGAGAGGCTCAGGGCCTTGCACAACCACAGTGCCTGGGACTCGGACGCAGTCCTGGGGCTAGAGAGGACCAGGAGTTGCAGTAACCGTACTGGCAGCAGCCAGCCTCGTAATAGTGCTGTGCGTGGAAGGTGGGGAGGGACTGTGCCGTCTGCAGCCTGGCATGTGGAAGCAAACCTTCACGCCTGGAGAAGGGACAGCTCCAGCCCATCAGGAGCTTCCCACAGTCCCCAAACCTAACTTCCCAGCATTCACAGACCTGATTTTATCCCTGTGGAGAGGGATAATCCTCAGAAGAGGAAAAATCCCCACTTGTCTGCACACGCGTGCGCACACACTCCCCCCCCCCAACCCCCCCTCTCTTCCTTGTGTGGTCACACACCCCTCCCTCGTGCTGCAGAGAAGACCCAGTCCCCACCCTGCACTCTGCTCATGCCGGGAAATGGTGATCACCATGCCGGCGGGGTACTGCTGGCAGTGCCCTGTCTGAGCCGGAAACGCAGCCAGGGAAGGGTCTCTAAGAGGCACAGTGGCAGGTGTGGATGCTGGGAACCGGAGCTTGGCACACACAGGAACAAATGAGATGGAGTGCTCCCTTTCAGGTGCGGGCAGGAACCGGCTCTGCCCTTTCAGGACTCAGTTTCCCCCTTCCTCCCAGACCCTGGCCTTGCTGTTTCCCCCAGCAAAGCCCGGCAAGGCCAGCACACCTGCCGGCACACAGGCCTTCACCCAGAAATTCTGGGAGAGCAACTCCCACCCACCGGGCTCACCCTCTGACAGGCCGTGTGAGCACCTGCTGTGAGGACAGGGCTGCTTCCCGCCTGAGGCCGGAAGAACCTGGTCTTTGCGGAGGGCTAGTGACTGTCTCTGGCACCACCTGCTGTCCGCCTACACAACAGGGCTGGTCCCCATGGTGCTGGGGAGGTCTGCTGGAGGAAAGCCTCCCACTGCGCCGGCCTTCCCAGCCAGGGGCAGACGCCTCAGAGCAACAGTGGACGGTAGGGCTCTCGCCCTCTCTGCAGCTGTTTATGTAGGATTACGCTTCCTTTAACAGCAAAAGGGGTCCTTCTCCTGCAGCCCTACAGCACACACAGCCAAGCCCAGGGCAGCAGCCTCCGGGGCCTTCAGTCTGCTCACCCCCACGCAGCCTGGACGCTGCCCTGACATGCCCCAGACACGTCACCAAATCCACGAAGCACCAACTGTGCCTCTTCCACCCGAGGGAGGGCGGCGCGACGCCGAGGGCCCTGGAGTCCACACAACAGCCCCTTCCCTTCCTCAGCCTGCCCCGGCAGCAAGCACCAGCAGATGAGCTTGTGGCCTTTTCTTCCACTTTATTTCATGTTCCCACCACAATAACAATTCCTTTAATTTACACTAAAAACCAGACTTCCTCAGATGTCAGCGAGGAGACGGTGGCGCCGGGCAGAGGGAGAGGCAGGGCGGGATCAGCGAATCGTCTTGACGGGGCTCTTAAAGTTGCTGGCGGCCTGCAGCTGCAGCTGGTAGGCCATCGGGTGGATCTTGAAACCGTAGAGCCTGGGCGGGGGGTCGGAGCGGCAGGGTGAGCACTACTGGTGAGCATATTCTACCCCGCCAGGGGCCAGCACTCCCACCGCCACCCCGGCCTCCTCGGGAGTCCCCCAACCTCCCTGCTCCTGAAAACTGTCTCTCCTTGGTTTCTGTTGTTGTTGTTGTTTGTTTGTTTGTTTGGGAGGGATGGTTTCTCGAGACAGAATCCCTCTACATAACAGAGCCTCGGCCTCAAGCTCAGACATCCACCCGCCTCTGCCTTCCATGATATGCCACCATGCCCATCATAAAAATGTGCTCTAAGCCGGCTGTGGTGGCGCACAGCCTTAGTTCCAGGGCTCAGAGAAGCAAGGCAGGCAGATCGCTGTGAGTTTGAGGCCAGCCTGGTCTACAAAGCAAGTCCAGGACAGTTAATGCTACACAGAGAAACCGTCTTGAAAAACAAACAAACAAACAAACAAACAAAAAAACCCAAAATACCCTAAACATCCACTAAAATTCAAATTCCAGGCCAAATTCCAGGTAAATAGTCTCATTTACAGCTTAAAACCAACTCAGCCATCGAAGACCTTGTTAAATGCTCCCCACCCCATCCCTGACACACACATCAAACCAACCAAACAACAACCCAAACTGAGAGTACAGTCAGGAAGAGTAGGAGCTTAGCAGGCATGAGGCCAGTTAAACCCAAATCACACTTGACTTTTTTTGCTATTGTTGTTATTTTGTCTCCCCCCCCCCCCAGAGCTGAGGACCGAACCCAGGGCCTTGCGCTTGCAAGCGCTCTACCACTGAGCTAAATCCCAACCCCTCAAACCACACTTGAAACTTCACATTTAAGGAGTACAGATTAGTACCTGTACAAAATGGAATCCTTCCTGGCATACAGTAAAAATAAGATACCACGATGGTAAGTCATGCTGAACCACAGAACCGGAAACTTTTGGGAAAAGGCTGAACAACCAACATGGCCACAGCAACAGCCTCTGTTTAAAGAGTCAAGTGCCATGCACTTAAAAATATTGCTAGAGGTCTGGAAAGATGGCTCAGAGGTTAAGGGCACTCACTGTCTGTTCTTCCAAGGTCCTAAGTTCAATTCCCAGCAACCACATGGTGGCTCACAACCATCTACAGTGAGCTGGTGCCCCCTTCTGGCATGCAGGTGTACATGCAGATGGAGTATTAAATGCATAATAAAAATCTTGCAGAGGCAGGTGGATCTCTCTGAGTTTGAGGACAGTCAGAGCTGTCACACACAGAAACCCTGTCTTGAGAAACCAACCAACCAACCACAGAGGTAGACGGATAGATGAAGGATAAGAGGACGGAGGCATGAGCAAGGAAGCCACTTCCCCAGCCACTCCACAGGAGGAAGTGCTGCCTTTGGGACAGGCAGGCCTCGACAAAGGACTGCGCCTGTTCTTCAGTTCTCTCTAGACCCCGGATCGCTCTCTGACCTTCTGAGACTCTTTGCTCCCCACCTGGGCACAAACTGGTTGGCGGGCCGCTTGGGCCGGTACTCCGGGTGCACCATGAAGAGCATGTGGGGGAAGCCGGTGCCGAAGTAGGCGCCGTCTGTGTGGTGGTGCCGCGACGACTTGGGCGTGTACACGTCCATGCACTTGGGGCAGTAGAGCTTCACCATGGCCTCGCCCGGGATGTCGGATAGGCCTGGGGGCAGACAGCAGGGCCCGTGGCACAGCGTCCCCCCCACCCCAGGACTCGGGCACCAACTAGGTTAGCCCAGCCGCTCGGAGGACTGCCTCAGAGCCGCCCGCGCCCCCCTCAGCACTCACCGATGGGAAGCATCGGCTGGTTCTCACAGTACACTCGCGGACAGTAGCCAAAGTCCCCCTGCTGATACTTCTCCAACTGTACAAGATGGAAAGACTGGTGAGTGTGAAGAGGCAATTCCTTTTCGTTCACTCACTCCACCATCCCCCATGCCTCCCATCTCTGACTAGAAGCCCCTTCTCTGTCAAGATGCCCTCAGATTCCTCAACTGCCTTCTCTTGAGCCAGGCAGGCGGCAAAGCGTGACAGCCATTTCTATCTGTTCCCCGAAAACTCCTTCCTATTCATGCTTTCATCTCCCTCCCTAAAACACCACTTCAGTGGGGGTTCGACTCTCAGCCCGGCTCGGGGCTTCTGGCAGACTCCCTGGCAGGCGTGAAGCGTGTCACTTCTGACTCGTGCACCTGTTTCCCTTCCTGCCTCCCGAGCGGCAGGAGCAGAGACTCACCATCTGGGCGATGCCTCGGTTGGTGAGGATGTATCGGGCGTGGATCAACCCATAAAGCATCTCAGCGGCCTGTTCAATCAGGTCACTCTGGTTGGGGTTGTCTTCCAGCTCTTCATCTGAAAGGTGGGGTGGCCATTTGCTTCGCTTTCCTAGGCAACCCCACCTCACCCCAAGGTGGCGCCTATGCTTTATCTAGCACCTGTTTCTTATCCATACATCTGACCCAGAAACCTGGGCTTCTAACTCTTCCACACACCCAAGGCCACTCACACTGCTTCCTCTCCACACCTCTGCAGTCTCTGCCTGCTTCTCTGCTTTCAGGCTACGTAAACGCAAACACACAATTGCAGAGGGTGGCACTGCAGACCAGCAAGGGGAAGGAGGCAGCACACAGAACTGTCCTATGAACTAGAGCTGAGCTACTCTCAGAGAGCATGGAGCCCAGGCAAGGGTCAGGAAGGGAACGAGACGAGGAAGAAGCCAAGCACTGCTGCACGTGCCACAGCTCCCCCACCCAAAGGCCACGGCAGGAAGGACAGGTGGAACAGTCCAGTTTGGGTGGTGCATGGAGGGGAAGAGGAGGGGGTACACACAGAAGCAAGCACGGAAGGATCTGGGGATAGGAGAGCTGGAGAATCAAAAGGAAATTTAGAAACTCAAGAAACAAGCCTGGCAGTAGTGGTGCACGCCTTTGATCTTAACACTCAGGGGAGGGAAAGAGGCAAGTGGATCTCTGGGAGTTGGGAGCCAGCCTGAACTACACAGTGAGTTCTAGGTCACACACAGAAACCCTGTCTTGAAAAACCAGTTGGGCACAGTGGCACATGCTTGTAATTCTACCACTCTGGGAGGCAGAGGGAGGCAGGTCTCTTTGAATTTGAGGCCAGCCTGGCCAAAGTGAGTCCAGGACAGCCAGGGCTACACAGAGAAACCTTGTCTCAAAAAAACAAAAACTAAAAAAAAAAAGAAATTCAAGAAGTGAGCAGAGACCAAAACAAAGTACACGTCTTCTCACCAACTCCACACTCAGCGGCAAACCTAGGGGCACATTACCAGGCTCCAAACACGCATGTGCACATATTCTCACCACCCCACACTCAGCCGAAACCCTAGCGGCACATTACCAGGCTCCAGGTCCAAGATCATGTCTAGAGCTTGTCGGTAGTGAGGCACCTGCTCATTCAGGCCAGTGAGATTAAACTTGTCCTGGATGTAGTCTTCGTCCACCTACGGGGACAGGGAAGTCTAGGGGTTGAACTGGTACAGGAATCCCCATCTTTCACGGGGGGTCAAGAGCTGCCCTGTCCTCAGCCAGCGTGTCTGCTCCTCTGGCTCCCTGTCCCTAGTCCTGGAGGGGGTCTCTCTTAAAAACTGCAGCTCTTTTCATCTGAGGCTAACCAGCTGCGGCACTTCTGTCCCTCCTCTCTGGGAACTGGATTTGCCATCTCCCGGGGAACAGTGGACTCTCTGAGCTGAAGATCTGGAAATTATGAAGGCTAAGCAGTTTAGTTTCTGAAAGGCATTTACAGTTTTCCATGTTAACACGCAGGGCTTTGGACAGTACAGAACTTTTAACATGAAACATCTTCCTAACAGTCACCAGCAGAGATACCTGTTAGCCATGCATACTGATAAACCCTTGTAAGCCCAGCACTCAGGAGGAAACGGAGGGAGTAGGATTGCCAGGAGTAGTTCAAGGCCAGTCTAGACTGCACAGGGAACTCCATCGCAGTCTGATCTCAAACATAAAATAAAACATCGGGGACAAGTGGAGGTGGCCAACAGGGAAGCTAAAACTCACCTCACAGAAGAATTCATTACCACGGAGCCCACAGAACCAGGAAATCCAGGACACCTCCTCAGAGCTACTCATCTTTACGTCTGATGAAGAAGAGCATAAGTAAGCGGAGACCAGGCTGTTTCTGGTCTCTTCCCTGACCCCACACGTTCTCTCCAACCACGGAGGCTTAAAGGATCCCCGCTTCTGAGGCACCCCTCTCCAAGCTTCCCTTCTTCACCCCAGCCCCCTCTCGGCGTGGTGAGAATGAGTGGCACCACTTTCCAGGAAAATGACAGGTCCCGATCCACTAGCGTTAGCCCAGTTCCTGGCGATCCTGAAGGCCAGGCCCCTCTCACCCCCGCGTCAGCTGCGACAGGGCCGTCGGCTCCGGCTCCCCACCACCGCAGGTGCCCGCACGCTCCTGGCGCCCGTCCCGAGCCTTCCGAAGTTCATCCTCCCCAACAGAACCGGCCTCTCCCGCCCTCGCGGGGCTGGCGAGAGCACCGCACTCCTGCGCGATTCACGACCGTCCCGTCCCCACCAGCCGCCTCCTCTCTTCAGCCCAACCTCCTCGGGCTACCGACCCGGTCACTTCCTCGCCCCCACATCTAGGAGCACAGACCCGAGCGCCGCGCCCAGAGCACGGGCGCCTCGGCGCAGAGACAACCCCAGACTCACCGGCCGGATGGGGACTGGGACTGGGACGGGGAAGGGGAGTTGTACTTCGAAGGAACGGCAGCTACCGCTACAGCGCAGGAAGCCGACCCGGCCGCGGCAGGCGAAGTGGGGAGGGGGAAAGTGGAAATTAGTGAGGAGGGAGGGAAATAGGGCAATGCGCAGGCGTTAAGAACCGCCCCCTACCTCGGTGGACGTCGGGAGATGGAGTCCCATCAGAGCAGAGACACTGACAAACTGAGGGGAAGATGAACTACCAATCCCAGGAGACCCCGCGCACGACTCTGGGGTCGCGAAGCCATAGAGGCAGCCTCCCGGGGGCGGGGCGAACGGAGGAACCACCGGAAGCGGAAGCCGAGTACAGCGTCTTCCTGACCAGGAAGCCTGGGAAATATAGTCTAATGCTCGTCAGGCTCAGCGGGCTGCCGGGTGGCGTCGGCGGTCCTTCTCGTCCCTGCTGTGCTCTCTCGTCGCTCCGCTTCGGTCTTCCCTGCCGCCCCGGGGACTGACCCCGTCCCAGGCCAACCCACTGGACCCCGGTCCTCCTGTCAGGCCCGCAGCAGAGTTCGCTCGGGCTCAGGCAGGCGTAGAGGCGTGGCTCGGTGGTGAGGAACTGAAGTCGGGTGTGCCTGGGCTGCGCTGGGCTGCCCTGCGCGCTAACCTGAGGTGGCGCCAACCATTCTGCCTCTCGCCTCTTTGTACTTGTCCATTTCCTCAGGGCTTGAGTGGGGCGCTCTGCTGCGGGCCCTAAGTGTGTTCTCCGAGACCTGCTCAGGGTAGTGGAGAGGGGCACCGTGCTGTTATTTCATCTCCCAGCTCCTCAGCATGCCACAGTCTCCCTTTGTGGCCCGGGGCCTTTCCTAACGCAGAGCGTGGCCTCCCCAGCCCCGGGAAAGGAGCTTGCAGCGGGAGGCACCACGTCTACGGTGGCGAAGGGCATTGTGGGGGCGTTATGTAAAAGCAAGACCCCAACCAGCAGGTCACCCGGTTCCTCACGCTGTCCGGGCACGCGAAGCTTTATGTGGATTCTTGGGAAGGTTCCAGCGCGGGAAACTGAAGCTTGTGGGGTTTTGGTGGTGGTGGTGGTGTTGCTGCTGCTGCTGCTGCTGCTGCTGCTGAGCATGCGTCCTTATGGCTATTTGGTTGTGTCAACTCTTACAGGTTACAAGAGCGCCATTTTGTGGTACGGAAGTGACAGTGCGACACCTTCCCCTCCCCCCCAAAACCTCTCGGAATAATGTCATACCTGTTTTTCATCTGGGAAAAGGAGACCCCTAATTAAGATCGAGCAAGATCTGAAAGGTGGCGCTGATATTTCCTAACGGTATGTGTTACAGGATGGAAAAATGTTTTTGGAGAGTGCCTGCTGTTTTTGTCTGTAGGGAGGTGGGCGTGTAACGCAGGACCCCTAGACAGCTGTCTGGTAGAATACTGTTTCTCTCTCTCCTATATAGGAGAGAGTACCCAGCCTCCCAAATTTGAGGCAGGCATTCCACACAGCCGTATCTAGGGTGCCCTCATGAACTTCTGTTAACATCGAGGTCTGGTATTCAGGGTTCTGCAGAATCTTAGGTTGTGAGGTCGGTTTTGGGGTGGGAGGCCTGTGTTCGTTCTAGGCTGCTTTCTCACCCCAGCAGGCCCCTGGAGGTGGTGCTGGTCATCACCACAGTGGCTGCCTGAAAGCTTGGGCTGCTTGCCATGTCCTTTCCTTGCCCAGTCTTCATTTCCTCCGTCTCCCCAAAGCCATGTCCAGATCCTCCCTCATCACGTTTACTCCAGCCACTGGCAACAGCGACCTCTGGAAGGATGGGCAGCGCCAGTCACAGTGTGAGAAGCCAGAGCCTGCCCTGGACGGGGCTGCAGCCCGGGCTTTCTATGAGGCGCTGATTACAGAGGAGACGAGCACTTCCTGTAAGCCCCAGAGGCCTGAACCTGTCAGGGAGAGGACGAGGAAGAGGAGAAGGGTGACAGCAGGCGTCTCGAGACCAGGAGGACCCCTTGAGGATGAAGACAAGAGGACGCAGTGCATCCTGCTGGCAGCCCAGAATGGGGATCTGACAGAACTCCGACGGCTGCTGGAGCCCCGGGAGGCAGGGGGAGCTGGCGGGAACATCAATGCCCGCGATGCCTTCTGGTGGACACCCTTGATGTGTGCTGCCCGAGCGGGCCAGGGGGCTGCTGTGCGCTACCTTCTGGGCCGCGGGGCTGCCTGGGTAGGGGTGTGTGAGCTGGGAGGCAGAGATGCTGCTCAGCTGGCTGAAGAGGCAGGCTTCCCTGAGGTGGCTCGCATGGTCAGAGAGAGTCACGGAGAGACAAGGAGCTCCGAGAGCCCGAACCGGTGAGGAGGGAGCCTTAGCTCATACCGTCTTCATTGTATTCTGCCCACCGTTCCTCAGAGCGGGAGGCCCACCTAACAGTCTTCAGATAGTCCCTTCTGGACAAGTGGAGAGGGGCTGGTGTAGCGTGGTGGCAGAGTACTTGCCTCAAACCAGGAAGGCCCTGGGGTCCTCGTAGTCTCGCCTCGTCCCTGTGACCTGTCTTTTTCCGCAGGCCTCCCCGTTCCGCCCAGTTCTGTGAGGACTGCGGCGCCCACTTTGAGGACGCTAACCACCGAACATCTACAGCTCACCTGCTCTCCTTGTCAAGGGGTCCCCAGCCCTCCAGCCTTGCCCTTGGAGTGCCCACCTCCAGCCCTGGCTTCAGGCTGCTGCTGAGGGGTGGCTGGGAACCAGGGATGGGGCTAGGACCCCGGGGCGAAGGCCGTGCCAATCCTATTCCCACTGTCCTCAAGAGGGACCAGGAAGGGTTGGGCTACAGATGCACGCCCCAGCCACGAGTCACACACTTCCCGGCCGGGGACACCCGCGCGGTGTCCGGGAGAGAGAGGGTGCCTCGTGTCGCCACGCTGAGTCAGAGGGAGAACAGAAAGAGAGCAGAGAAGGACAGAGCCTGGGAGCGAGACCTGAGACTCTATATGAACCTTGACTTCTGACTGGGCAGCCTGGCCCTGGCCTGTCTCCGCTGCACTTAGACCACTTGGACCTCCAGACCCTCCGGCCTTGGCTGTTGGGCTGTGCTCTTAGAGAAAAGGCTGAGAGTTAAGAGATGAATAAACGTCCCTCACTGTGGCTTCTTTACTGTCCTACATGATGTAGCAGGGAACTGGAGCAGACCTGAGAGTCACATGAACTCTCACCTGAGCCAAAAGGACAAGCTGCAGGTGACACAGAATTCCAGCCCTGCTGGCTGCATTCTTCCTGCTCATTCAGCCCCCCCCCGCCCGGAATTGCCCCAGCTCTGCAATACACTCCTCTTCTGGGTCTCTTGGCCATTCCAGCCAGTTCAGTGATGTGTGTCTTAAAGTAAGTTTGCTATGTGCTGAAAACAGACACCACGAACCCTTAAGTTCTGAACTGTGTGAGGAGGCCAGCTGTGGTTACATGTAACACCTGTGAGAGGGATGTCAAAACTCACCAGAAAGCCCGGCTGATTGGCCAGGGTGACCTAACGTCATCCAGCCTGTGTGCCATTTTAGCTGGCACCAGAGTTCCTGCCTCCCAAATACGAAGTTTAAGATGATTTCCTTTTTCTGCTTTGAGACACAGTTTCTCGCTATGTAGACCAGGCTGGCCTCAAACTCAGAGACCCGACTGCCTCTGGAGCACTAAGACTTAAGGCGTGTGCACCATCACACTGGGTTTTGTTGCAGTAAGGGGGATGTAGCCCGGGGCTCCGTGTCTCCGAGTTGCATCCTAGTCCTAAGACTATTTCACGCCCTGAGAACCAGGCAGCATGTTCTGTTTTTGTACATTTCCCTTTCCTCCTTGGCACCTCCACCCCTGAGGATGCTCGTGCGGAGTGCTAGGAACACGAAAGCTTTCAAGTTTCTATCTGGAAGGGCAAAGGGCTGCTGCTTCAGTCGGTGGCTCCTGTCCTTTACCTTTTTGGACCAGAATTACACCCAGTCTTAGGTGAGAAGCGATGGGGAGTGCAGAGCTGCAGGGCAGCCAGGAGCCGGCATTGCGAAAGCAGCAGCTCAGAGCCAGCCTGGGCCAGGCCTAGCCAGGCCTTTCCTGAGCTACGCGGATAGGAAGGCTGTCTCTAAAAACAAAGCCGGGCGGTGGTGGCAAACGCTTTAATCCCAGCCAAGGAGGCAAGAGGCTTTCAGAGTTCGTGGCCAGCCTGGTCTAGCAGGGCTGGTTCCAGGACAGCCAAGGCTACACAGAGAAACCCTGTCTCAAAAACCGAAAGAAAGAGACCCAAAATAAAGACCAAGGGCTGATACTGGCGAATCAGAGTCCGAGGTGGAAGGCCCTGGATGGGGAAGCCCAGCATCGGGCTTGAATTCAGGTTCTGGCCTTGGTGGTCCTCTCTCCACGCCTGCGCTAGTGGAGTGCGGAGGCTGCGGGGGAGGTCGTTCCGTCGGTCCGCCTCACGAGGTGCGGGGCTCCGCCCCCGCCGGTTCCTCGCGCCCGGTACAGCTGCTTCCGGGCTCCAGGGCTCCAGGAGGCCGCTCCCCGGACGCTGGGCCCCAGAGCTACCCGCCGTGCGGAACACCCGGCGCCTGGGTCCCCAGGTAGGCCGGCGCTGAGCCTCGCGACTGCGATCTCCAAGGACATCTCTGTTCTGACCTTGCGGAGGCCGCGTCTCAGCTGCGCCCTCACGGGACAGTGGGGCCACTTTGTGGAACGATCGCTTCCCAAGTTAAGGGATGCATGTAACGAACTGGAGTTGGCTGGACACTTCCATCGCGTCTTCCTCTCAACAGAGGCTTCCTGTTCTTTGAGCTCCCTTGGGCAGCAGCGCTTTAAGGCTCCTCAACTTTAGGACCGAAGGACCCTGGGCCACCTTCCTTCCTGCTTCGATGGAGCACCACCCCTCCCCTTTGTGGGACACCTCGGGGTGTGGCCTCGGTGAGTGAAAATCGGGGTGCCGACTGCTGGGGAAGAATTCTGAAAACACAGAACATTGTGGGGGTGACCCTGGCCTTGTGAGGCCCTTCACGTCTTTTAGTGTGGGGTGGCAAATGGATTTCTTTCCCCCTAAACTGACAAGGAAGCAGGCCATTTACCATACTTGGGGCTGCTGCGTGAGGCCTCTCTGAATTCCGAGGACGGTACCACCAAGCAGACACCTATTCTGAACCGCAACAGATTCTGGCTTCTGAGGCGATCCCGAGGGGCTTAAGCAGAGTCAGGAGGTGGTCGCAGATTCGGGGAGCTCATTCTACACTCAGTCATGTTCCTTCGACGGCTTGGTGGCTGGCTACCTCGACCTTGGGGCCGCAGGAAATCAACAAAGGTTGACTCGCCTGCCCCAGAACCCAGATGGGTGGACAGCTCCCCCGAGAATTCAGGGAGCGACTGGGACAGTGCCCCAGAGTCAATGGGAGATGTGGGGCCTCTGAAGAGCAAGGATTCAGGGACACAGAAGACCCCTAGGACCTCTTCAGAGTCCAGAAAGGATCAGCTGGGGAGCAAAAGAACGGATTCCCTCAGGCTCAGGCGGGACAAGACTGTCTCTAGCATTCAAGAGCCTGCAAGACTGGACACTGGAGGAGCCATTCCCAAACCAGAATGGGACCCTGTGGATTCAGGTGGCATGGAGAACCCTGAAATGTCCCCTCAAGGGAGACTAGACAGCGCTGGACCAGAAGCCCCACTGGAGAAAGCTGGTCGACGGCAGAAGCTGTTGCGTTGGCTGCGGGGCGAGCCAGGGGCCCCCTCACGTCACCTGCGGGACCCAGAGGAGTATCTGCAGATCTCTACCAACCTGACCCTGCACCTGCTGGAGCTCCTGGCCTCCGCCCTGCTGGCTCTGTGCTCCCGGCCCCTTCGAGCTGTCTTGGATGCTCTGGGCCTTCGAGGACCTGTGGGCCTCTGGCTGCACGGGCTGCTGTGTTTCCTGGCTGCCCTGCACGGGCTCCATGCTGTGCTGAGCCTGCTCACTGCCCACCCCCTGCACTTTGCCTGCCTCTTTGGCCTCTTGCAGGCCCTGGTGCTGGCTGTCAGCCTCCGAGAACCTGCCGAGGATGAGGAGGCCGCTGGCTGGGAGAGTGAGGGGCAGGGGAGGGAGACTGAGGAGCAGAGGGAAGGTCCAGGAAGGGTGCTGTGACTGGGTGAGGCAGGGGGCAAAGGGTGAAGATAGTGGTTTGGCCTTTAGGAGGAAGGTGGGGAAACCCGATTGTAAGCACAGTGACCTCAGGGATGGGGAGGGAGACTCAGGAGCACAAAGGCGCAGGGGCCCCTATTGTATAAGCGAAGGGCTGCTTACGGTGTCCAGCGATGGACAGTGGCATCACCCTGGAGTCACCAGCTATGGTTATTTCTTGCTTTTACATCTATCCACCAGTTCTTAAAATTTTCACCTCCACTTTTCAAAAGCAAAGACAAGAAAAGCGATGGTACAGAATGAAGGCCAGAGGGTCCTTTCCAACCCCAGGGGTGGACTAGGCCAGAAGCAGGACAGAGATCTCTGCACTAAGAGGTGACGGGAGATCCATGGCGTCTGTCCCTTGGGCTCAAGGACCAGAGCCATCTGGAAGAGAGTGGGGCTGTGAGGTAGGAGGAGCTGGGATTCTAGAAGGGGCTACAGGGGTTGTAACACTTGCCGGGAGGGTCTGATACTCCACGGGACCCAGAAGACATGGGTGGTGCGGGCCCTACTGGCCAGAGGACCAGCTCAGAAGGGCTGGCGGTTCTAACGGGCAGTGGAGGTTATCACAGCGCCTGCCATCTCCACTCGGCCTGTTTGCTCACTCAGCAATAAATGTGCCACACTAAATCCTAAATATACCAGTACAATGTGAGAGGTGCCGCTCAGTGTCCTTCCTGGTGCCAAACACCATGTGTGTGGGGGAATCGCTAGGTGGTGGAGGTTTCATTCTTCAGGAGGGAGAAACAACTTTGATGCCAACAGACAAAACCCAGACGATGAGGACTGGAAAATCATCTTTATTTTCCGTGAGCGGGGTGAGAGTCTCCAGCTCCCCCTCCAGGCTCAGCTCCCACCTCGGGTCTGGGTCACTCACTGGACAGCTGGCAGGCCTCTGTGGTGGGAGGAGGGAGAGAGGGAGAGGATGGGATGGAAGTCCAGGGAGTCATTCGGGGTAAGAGACGCCTCCTCTCTGGATCTGCGCCTCTCCTCCCTCTTGTCTAAAGCCACGCTTCTCAACCTGTGGGTCATGACCCCTCTGAGGGACCCTTTCACAAAAGTTGCATATCAGATGTTTACATTACAATTCATAAAAGCAGCAAAATTAACAGTTATGAGGTAGCAACAAAATACTTTTATGGTTGGGAGTTGCCGCAACGTGAGAAACTGTTAAAGGTCACAGTGTGAGGAAGCTTGAGACCACCGCTGTTGCAGACCCAGAAACCTATCTTTTTCCTCTTTTCATTTTAATTTCTGAGAGGCCGTCTTCAGAGCTGTGGCGATTCCTCTGCCTCTGCCGCGGAGTGCTGACATTACAAGTGTGTGCCAGCACTCCTGACCAAAAGCCTCTTGGAGACACCCAGAGCCCTGCTGGTCTCCACAAGTGACTCCACAGCTCTTAGCCAAGTCCTTCTGGTGGCATCATAGCCCAGAAAAATTAGTGGGGTCAGGGTACCTGTTCTGACGCCTGCCTCTGGCCCTGGCCTCTGCTGATGGTGCACAGAGCTCCTTACAATCTCCTCAGGAGACCTGGTCACCCCAGCCCTCTGCTGGGAGACTTCAACCCCTTACCTTGATTCCTGGGAGTCACTAAGAAGACTTTGAAGTCCAAGCAGGAGGTCAGAGACTGGAATTCCTCCACACACCTCTCTGAAGGGTGTGGCGATCGGTCTGGAAGGACAGGGAGCAGCCAGGGCAGTCAGTGCTCCTGCTTCTCACGGGCGCCCTCCCACTTCCCAAAAGACCTGTTCTGGGAGGGCGTTACAGGGCCCCAGCAGGCGAGGCTCTTCAGCCTTCCAGTTTCCTTGGGCACTTCCTGCCCTGTACCCCACTCACTGTAGAGGAGAAAGCGCTGGTAACCCTGGCCCGTCTCTTTCAGCATGATCCCTCCTGGACATGAGCTGGTGAAGAGGTCTGTTTTCATGTCAGGGCGGCCTGTCAGGATCAAGAGAGGATCATGGAGACAGATGCATAACCAAGCAGTCATCCCAGGAAGTGATCCCAGGAGGCTGAGGCAGGAGGGTTTTACATTCAGCAGCCATCAGGCACCCCAATGAAACCCTGTCTCAAAAACAAAAAGCTTAGAAAGGGCCTGGGAATCCAGTTCAGGGGTGACATGTTTCTCTGGCATTCGAGAGGCCCCAGGCTCAGCCCTCAATTCTGAGGGGGAACAGCTCAGGGAAAGCAGGGAAGGGAGGGACTGTGGGAACCAACCTTCAGTTCTGAGTTCTGTGTTTCCTTGCCCTTCAGTCAAGCGGTACATCCATTTCCGGGGCACACAGACCCCATTTTTCCTGCAGAGGTGGCGGGGCAAGGCAGAAAGATGGGGCGTCATTCCGACCACACAGCAGCCCTCGTTTACCCCATCTTACTCTTTCCCACACCCTTGCTCTTTGGGTCTCAAGCTGCCGAGAGATAGGTAGGCCCTGCCCTGCCTCCAGAAAGCGACCTGTAAAGCAGTCAACTTGAGTGGGCAAAGTGGGTGGGAGCCCAGCTCACGTGCGGACAGCAGCCCGAAGCTGGAGCTGCCTTGGGGCAGGGCCGGCGGCCATGTTGAAGACAATATTGTCCACCGAGTCAAACGTGGCCAGCTCTTCTTTGGTGGGGGCTGCTCCGGCAATAAAGTACCACAGGCCCAGGTGGGGCTCTGGGGACTGGAGCGGCAGGAAGGGAGAAAAAGGATGAGTTACGTATCGCTGCATCACAAAATCCACCCGAGACCCCATCACTCAGTGACCAAGGCGCAGGGTAGAGGCTTTGGCGGCCCTGCTCGTTTGTAACGAGGAGCCACCGGTGACTTTCACCTTTTGCCTTCCACACAACCTCTGCCTCCCTCCCTTCCCAGCATGCCTTCTGGTCATCCTGAGCTACCCACCCAAGACTTTCAGCTTCTACCGCAGACCCTCCCCGTGGGCCTCAGCCCGTACCTGCGTCTCGTCCACTCCCAGCGCTGTCAGGTGGCCATGCTCAGGGCACTGGTACGTGGAGTTAAAGAGAAGGCCGTAGAGGTAGAGCAGAGCTGCCCAAACTTGGTGGAACATCTCAGGAGGAGAGAGCTGGTGCTTGGGGTGAGGGGACGGCTGCCTTGGCTGATTTCTGCCGCCCACTCGGGTCCACTCTGCTTCCAGCCCCCTCGCCTCGACCCTTGACCCTTGAACCTGCTAATAAGTAACTCCAACCTTGTTTTCCAACCCAAGCCTGGATCAGCTACACTGTTGGGGCCTTCCTCACCCTCTTCAGATGCAACTACCCTACAGTAGACCCTGGCACGTCCAGGGGCTCTGAGGCCTTAGGAGGAGAGCTGAGCCCTGCAGTAGATGTCTTCCTGACTGTATCTGAGACGGGACTGTGCTGCGTTATGCAGCGCGCTGAAGTTACTGGATTAGGTCTTTCATTCATTCACCTGGCAAATATTGGGATTTCAGTTGTTTGCCAGGAACTAGCTAATCCTGGGGGACTTTTTTTTTTTTTTTTTTAAATGGAAAAACAGCTTTACAAACAACCCATTGCATTACAAGCTGATAAGTGTTAGAACAGGCACCAGCCAGTTGGGGTGAGGTGGATTTCTTTTTTTTTTTGGTTTAGTACAGGGTTTCACTGTGTAGCTCTGGTTGTCCTGAAATTCACTATGTAAACCAGGCTGAACTCGAACTCACAGAGATCTGCCTGTCTTTACCTTCCGAGTGCTGGGATTAAAGGCGTGCTCAGCTTCGCCATGCTGGATTCCTCTTTTGAGCTCACAGTAGGGAGCAGTAAGAACACACCACGGAAAAGCTCACCGACACGTGGACTCAGTCACGTGTTTACTCAGACTTCAATAATAGTGAAGACATTCTTGGTTGTCCTGTACTTACTTGTAGACCAGGCTGGCCTCGAACTCACAGAGATCTGCCTGCCTTTGCCCCCAGAGTGCTGGGATCACAGGTGTGCGCCACTGTGCCCAGCTCACTAGTGAGGACATTCTATTAGACATTAATGGTTAAAAAGTGTTGCCCACAGGCTGAAATCCTAACTTGACTGTTGGATGTGGGAACTTGTCGACTTGGTAGTTTTTTTTCTCCTGATGCTGAGGATCAAACCCAGAGCCTCATGCAGGACAGGCAGGCTCAGTGGCAGCAGTGACCCGCACTCCCAGGCTCCTGGGACACTTGATTTAACTGCTCTCTCTCTCTTTTTTTCCATCTGTGGAATGTGCAACTCTATCTATTTATTATGTATACAGTGCTCTGCCTGCATGTCCACCTGCACAGCAGAGGAGGGCACCAGATCTCACCCTTAGATGGCTGGGAGCCACCATGTGGGTGCTGGGAATTGAACTCAGGACTTTTGGCAGAGCAGCCAGTGCTCTTAACCTCTGAGCCGTCTCTCCAGCCCCACGTGCAACTTTTTAGTTTTAGAGGAGTAAATGAGATCACATGAACACCAAGTCAGAAATAAATATCCCCTTATCTGCAAAGCGCACACTGCATTTGCTGGTAATAATTTTTAAATAATAGATTGTCAAGATCTGAGTGCAGTGTCAACAGTCGCTGCATGGTGCTTCGCGGAGCTGGCAATGCAGCGAGAGGCGGGGCTTGTTTACATGAATTCTGAGCTGGTGACTCCTGAGAAGCCAATGCCTGTGTCCTTTCCCGAGTGCCTGTCTCCCTGCCTTAAGGCCATGACTAAACATATATGAAAATAAGGGGGCTGGGGGGCTGGAGAGATGGCTCAAAGGTTAAGAGCACTGGCTGCTCTTAATAAAGGTCCTGAGTTCAATTCCCAGCAACCTCACGGGGTGGCTCACAACCACCATCTAAGATGAGATCTGGTGCCCTCTTCTGGCCTGCAGGCAGAACACTGTATGCATAATAAACAAATCTTTAAAAAAGAAAAACATATTAAGGGCTGGGGAGATGGCTCAGTGGTTAAGAGCACTGTCTGCTCTTCCAAGGGACCTGGGTTCAACTCCCAGCACCCACATGGCAGCTCACAACTGCCCATAAGCAGTTCCAGGTGGTCTGAGACCCTCACACCAATGCACATAAAATTATTAAAAAAATATAACTCCAAATTTTAAAAAACATATAAAAATAAACTCCACTTTCTTTCTTTTTTTTTTTTTTTTTTTCTTTTTTAGAAACAAGTCTCCTCAGAAGTGAGACTGGCTAGGGGCTTGTGATTTATTTAAAGGAATAATGGTGCAGATCTTCAGTCCTGGGAAACCGGAGGAATGACTGGCACTTGTGCCACCCTTGGCTACAATATTATCTTGCTTAGAAACAATCAGAAAAAGGATGATGACAGGCATGAATAATCTATTGTGGTAATGCTAGGATTGGGGGGGGGGGGAGGCAAGGAATCAAACCTAAGCCGTTGAAATTTTTATAATAACAAAGCTAAAATGTGGGTGTAGGGAATTGGCTCAGCATGTGAGGGTGCTAGATGCCAAGCCAAGCCTGAGGCCCTGACTCTGATCCCCGGTTCCCTACACGGTGGTAGGGATATTTCTCCCCTCATCTCCACATTGCGCTGGGGTAGGTGCATGATACCTCGCCCATCCCCCAAAAAAGTGTCTACAAAGAAGTGTTACGATATCGAATTCCAGCATAAGGAGGCAGAGGCAGGTGGAGTTCTGTGAGTTCCAGGAGAACCAGAGGTTCAAGGTGAAACCCTGTCTCAAAGCAAAACAAAAACAAAGCCGGGTGTGGTGGCGCAAGCCTTTAGTACCAGCACTCAGGGAGGCAGAGGGAGGAGGATCGCTGAGAGTTCAAGGCCAGCCTGTCTACAAACCGAGTCCAGAGAAACCCTGTCTCGAAAACCAAACCAAAATCACCTCCAAAACCCCTTACATATAGTCTGGCAGGGTGCCACACTTTAATCCCAGCCCTGGGTTATGGGGAACATTATGAGCTCCAGGCAATCCAGGACAGCACAGTGAGATAGTGTGTAAGTCTCATCTCCCAGGCTGACACAAAGTAACTGCTCTCCAAGCGAGGCGTATGGAACTCGCCTCAGTGCTGGCATTCTAGAAGTGGGGAAAGAGGGCAGAGAAACTGTGACCACCCAACCCTGTTTAACTCCCTTGGGGGCGGGTCTTTCAATCCATGTTTTCAAAGTCTTATCCTTTGATCCGATCCCTAAGGCACAAGGTTTTTTTTTGTTGTTGTTTTACAACATTTTTTAAAGGATTTATTTATTTTATGTATATAAGTGTTCTATCTGCATTTACACCTGCCAGGAGAGGGAGTCAGTTCACATTATAGATGGTTGTGAGCCACCATGCGGTCGCCGAGAATTGAACTCATGACCTCTTAGCCGCTGAGCCATCTCTCCAGCCCCCTTTACAAAACTTTTTAAAAGCATAATGTGTCGAGAAAAAAAAAAAACCAGAATGCTTAGATGCTCTAAACCATGGCACCGCCTCGGGCGCGCTCAACCAAAACCCGATTGTGACACCCAGAGTCCGCAAACCACGCGCTTAAGCGGCCTATCAGGCCAGGGACGGAGGCTCGAGCGCAGCCCCGGGGACGCCCCAACCGTCCAGGGGAAAGAGCGAGTTCCGGAAGCGCAGGGCTGGCGAGAGGACCAGCGGGGTTAGCTGGCTAGGGTGGTGCCTGCACGTTTTCTCGGCCCGTCAAACCAGGAACGCGCTTCGACGCAGGCCCCCAGTCCGCACACGGGCGCCCGCAGCTCTCCTCGCGGAGGGGCCAGCATTCCGCGCAGGGCGTTCTCTTCAGGCGTTCGCGGTAGCTACCTCGGTCGGGCAGCGCTCCGGCGCGCGCACGGAACAAACGCACCCAGCCCGAGCGGGGGCGGGGAGCTATTAGAGTGTGCGCACGCGTCGCGCGGCTCACGCAGGCGCAGTGCGGTCCCCCGGGCGACGGCGGCGGCGGCTCCTCGGGGTGGTCGGCTCCCTCCCATCTAGGCCGGCCCCAGCCCGTCTCGCCCCCCAGAAACTCACTGCTTGGGGCTGTGGACTCTCTCATCGTGCCCCACAGAAGTAAATTGGGGGGAGCCTGGGGAAGCCGGAAGTACCGCCTCGAGAGCCCCAAATACGATCGGGGAAACGGAAGTGGCCTTTAGTGCCTGGTTGGGGGAGACCGGAAGTGACGGTACCGTGGGGACGTCGGGGGCGGAGCAGAGGGTGGTGGGCTGTGTGTGTGTGTGTGTGTGTGTGTGTGCGTGTGCGTGCGTGTGCGTGTATGTGTGTTTGTATGTGTTTGGCCCGGTGTCGGTTAAGTCGTGTCGCTGAAACACCGACGGAAGGCGGAGGCGGAAGGAGGGGGCTGTCAGCGAGCCGGTCCAGCCTCCCGTGAGTGTCCGCGGCCTGGGGTCTGTGGTGATTTAGGCGGGTTCGATTGTGGTGGGCGCGCGTGCGCGGAGCCACTTTCCTCGCCGAGTCCAGCGCGACCCTCCCCCCGCTCGCGTTGTCCTAGGATTTCCCGATCCCTCGGGCGCTTGCTCGGTCGCGACCGGTGATGACACTGGCCTCCGGTCGGTCTCGTGCTTGCTTCCCTGATTCCTAGCCCAACTGGCTCTCCCTATTGTGATTGGCATTGTGGAGCCCCTCCCACCTCTCGTCCTTCATGTCCCGATGCCGCCGATCTCCTGCCCCTTTGTGTTTCTCTTCCTGTGGCCCCCAATCAAAACGGGGGAATGAGGGCGAGGATGAATATATGTGCTTGTGTATGGGAGAGTTTTAAGGGATTGGGGCGGAGATTGGATCCAGGGAGGCTTCCGGGAGTGTGAACCAGAGAGCGAGCGACAGCGAACCATTCCTCCCCCTTCTTCCTCAGAGAGCTGTCGGCCATGGAGCCGAGTGATAGTGTCAGTACCGCTATGGAGGAGCCTGCCAGCCTGGAGGTACTGGTGAAGACCCTGGACTCCCAGACTCGGACGTTTATCGTGGGGGCCCAGGTGAGACAGCAGTGCTCTGTAGAGATGACGCCCCTTTGGCTGGTGCCTGATTTTCTTGTCAGTGACTCCTTTGTCCCTTACCGCATAGGACATCCGATGTTCTTGTTGAGTGAGGCAGGTTTTGTTTTGCGTGTCTTCACCTTGATGGAACTCAGTGAAGAAGGGAAATACAGAGGAATCTCTACCTATCCTGGGCAGACCCCAGCCCAGAGGGACACACATGGCTCTGGCCTTTGGGACCGGACACT